TTCAATTTTGATTTCTATTTCGAGTGATAAATTTTTTGTCATGATTCATGAACTAATTAATAGACTCTCTAATTTTTTCGCAATTGAAAATTCAAGGTTGAAATGTATATGTAATATTGTTATAAACCGCAATTTATTTAATGATAAGGTTATTAATCAACAAAGAAAAATAAAAATTCTTAGAAGATGAGATCAATTCAGATGCCCTTATTTATTAGTTTTAAATATAGCAGACATAATTTTATTGGTCTAATTTGGGACCTTAGCATAGATTTTGACTATATCTAACAAACATATCAAGATATAGAATAGGAAAGTGTCTTTAGATTTATTTGTGACCTCTGAGAAGCCATCAGGTTTATCATTTTTCTAATTTTTTCTCTAGCCGAATGTGAAAAATTACCTTTTGATTTATCAAAAGCAGAAGAAGAATTAGTAGCAGACTATCAAACCGAACATTCAAGTAATAAATTTGGTTTATTTTACATTGTTTCTTATCTGAATCTACTAGTTTCTTTATTATTTGCAATAGTTCTTTATTTGGGAGGTTGGAATCTTTCTGTTCCGTACATATTTGTTCCTAAACTATTTATCATAAATTAAAGGGATAAAGTCTTTGGAACACTAATTGGTATCTTTATCACTGTAGCCAAAAGCCCAAAACTTATTTGTTTGTTCATTTCTATTGCAACAAGATGGACTTTATCGAGGCTGAGAATGGACCAACTATTAAATCTTGGGTGAAATTTTCTTTTACTTATTTCTCTAGGTAATATCTCTCTCTCTAGAGAGAGAGTTGAGTTGTATTTCTGCTGATATATATATATATATTGCGGATGCTATAAATATAGCATACTTGGAAAACCGATCTACCACGACCAAGATAGTTATAAGATATCTGATCGGTGATGAAATTCAGTGAAACGTTTTCCCAAGGTCTCTTCGTTATCCATTATGGTGTGTAAAGGCAGCATTATTAGAGAGCTAGAATATAAACTGATACAAACTATAATCTGTACTGTTTATGAACATATCTAAGCATCTATATATATATAAAGTTGGGAAATGGCCAGCTGATGTGGCATCCCTGAATGGTCAGCTTTCATATTTTTCTTTTTCCTGGTTTTTTAGAATTTTTTTGTTATTTCACTCCTTTTCTCCATTTATTTCTAATAGTATTTTATTAGCCCACTACTCCAAATAATAACTGCTATTAAAATGCTACTAAACATCTCAAACATTAAGCCCACTAACCGTTTTGTTTTACCCTTCACGATAAAATTTCAATTTGACGTTTTTTTGTTTCCTCTTAACACACCCCACGTTTCACAGCTCATGCCAAGGTAAAATCCCTTCTTCAGTTTATGGCATGTTGTAGCCGTTTGATTTTTTCTACTATCTTCTCCTAATAATTCTCCATTCAACCTCATAATTCCTAATTACAATGATATTTATTGTGTATTATTTTCTTATTATTAAATTAATGATTAATCTTCTGCCTATTTATACTCTTTTTTGATGGATTATATATAGATGGTGATGAATGTTGTTCATACTGTAACTAGCTTGATTTCTCTTGCTTTTCATTATTTTCTTAGAATGGCATACTCTTTTCTTTCAGAGTTAGCTCTTCATAGGGATAATTGGTTGATAAGGGTTAGAATTTGCAGAATGTGGGATTCTTTTAATCCCAAGAAAAATGGAGAGTTGATTGGCTTGGATATGATATTTATTGACGAAAAGGTACCTTCATGATTCTTATACTTTTATACACAGATTCTCTTCGTGTCTTTTCATCTCAAAATATTTACGTCTTTTCTTTTATCAACGCCACATAATAGGTATGAGTTCATTTTTTACTATTTTTATAGGCACCACTCCTTTACCGATCTCCCAGTTCAATAAAAAAAAATGACAAAAACATAAAAGAAAGAGGATTATTTAACCCTGTGTTAATAGAGTACGAATATAAGATTCAGTTGTATATGTTTATTTCTATAGGTATAATAAGCATTCGTATACCATATTAAGCCTTGTGAAACGGAATTATCCATCTCGATAATTATTGAATTGGTCTACAGGTAGTAATCTCTTATTGCATCAAAAGCAAGTTCAACACTAATTTTTTTAAACCTCTATTTAAACAATTAAAGATTTGTGCTTTTGGAAGTGCAAAGATGTTGGTACGTGTTATTTTTTGAGAACTATATTTTTTATATGTGTTTGCATCTACTCGGAATTTTTTTCAATTACCATAGGTGTCTGTGGAGCTCAATATACCTACATTTGATCTCGATATTACAGGACGCATGAATTGATCTTTAGGGCTACATGATACACAATTGCAATTCATATGTGGTCAGCTGGTTGAGTTTTCGCTGAGGAACTTTTAGTTACAAAATTTAACTTTTCTTATGTTGGTCTTAATACTTTACGGCCATTTATAATACAAACAATAATTATAACATTAAAAGAGTTTTAAAAATAATCGACTGATTAATGAATATTGTCCTGTTTTTATGAATTTTACATTGGTGAGATTCCGAAAAAGATTTCGCTTTAATGTATGTTCTTTCTTATTTATTATTTATCTTTTTATACATCTATTCTCTCATTTTCCTCTTTACCTTCCTATTCTCTCATTATTCCACCAAATCACTAACGGCTCTTTCCTATTAAAAAAATAAAATAAATCCTTAATCATCCTACTATTCTCATTCAAATTGTTGATACACATCTTTTTTTCAAGATCTCCAGCGATTCAAATAAACATTCAATTTACCCCTATAAATTCAAGAAATACACCATACAAGGAAGATGGGAGGATGATTCAAAATAACACAAAACATAACACAACCACGAAGAGGAGCAATTTTTAAATATCAGGTTTATTCCTAAACTATACATTATTCTTCCATTGTTCTACACAAATCACATTCCTTTGCACAAATACTTTTGTCTCTAAAGTAGCATAAAGATTTAAGCATATAAAATAATACATAATTATAGAGATCTATATTAAATATACATTAATAATATAATTCATGATATGCTTATATCTGCACACTAAAATTTGTCTTACATTATACAGGATTTCTACAATGGATAAACAGATTATAGATCAACGACATCAAACTTCCTTGAATAATTGTCAAGGTAAATTATTTTTGCTAAATTAAATAATTTTATTACTTTACTATTCTTAGTTGTATTAAAACTTCGTCTTTTGTTACAGAGGTAGAAAAATAACCTGAACCCTCCATGGATGAGATGTATACAAGAATCACACAAATGCGGATAGAATATTTGAAGTATGAGCAAGCACAACTTAAAAATGAATTATATAAAGGAGTATTACCAGATAAATCATGCAAAGAATGACTATATGTATATTCGAATATTATGTTATTGCATTTACAAAATTTAAGTTTACATTGTTACAAATAAATGTTATTTACCTCCTATTTATTAGACGCTCAAATTGATGGACTTCGATTTCATTTTCACCATATCTAATATCCAACATGGGAATATGATTACATAATTATAGCATATTTAAATGATCGCGCGAAGCGCGGTCAAGTTCCCTTGTTTAGTATAAAGGAGATGAGTAGACTTGTCGTCTTTGTATAAAAGCTTACATCCATAGCATATTTTTGCACTAATTTACCAACTATCCTGTCGTCAAAGTAAAAATGACTCACTGGTCATAAGGATAATAGTTCTTCTTAGGTCAGGGGCGGCCGGACCGGGGGTTACCCGCGATTGGTAATGGCACAACCAGAAGAGGAGTAGGGGAGACAAGGTTAGGCGCTGGGTAGCGCAGCGCATCTGTTTCGGGTACAGAGGCGACGAGGGGTGCTAACCCGGCCACCCAACCCAGCAGGTCAGGGGCAGGCCGGCCATAGGTTCGAATCCTGCCACCTTTCTTGTGGATCATCCTGTGGTTACCGGATGATGGGAATAACAAAGCAGAAATTTTGAAATGAGCACGAAATGTCAATATATGAATTGTTTCATTATTCGTTATTTACGGGTCTTTTCGTTGCATTCACTTACAACAAGAAACAACCACCAGTGTTTGGTGCAGCACTTGCATTTTGGTGTATTCTTCTTTCTTTCCTTGGTCTTTCGTTCCGTCATATTCCTAATAACTTATCCAATTACAACGTATTAACCGCTAATGCACCTTTCTTTTATCAAATCTCAGGGACATGGTCTAATCATGAGGGTAGTATTTTATCATGGTGTCGGATCCTAAGTTTTTATGGATTCCTTCTTTGTTACCGGGGTCGACCCCTAAGCCATAATGTCTCAAAACGAGGAGGCCATAGAGAAACTTTTTTTTATTCCTTTGTTTCGAACTTCGTGAAGAACTCCATTCTATCTCTCCCTCGTTACGAACAAAAAAGTGGGGTTGCGCCCCAGTTATACACTCCCTTCGTTCTACGAACCCTTGTTGATTCTGAACGAAAGAGATGTTGTTCCAAATATCTATCTATCTATCTATCTATCTATCTATATATATATATATATATAAGAGGGCATTAAGAAAGTGAGGTGGCACCCCTCTCAAGTCAAGAAAAATATTTATCTTTTTCCTCTTTTTTTGAATTTTTCAACACTTTTTCTATTTCCTAATTATTTTATTGTAAGAAGTAGTTAAAGTCTAATAATTACTCCAACGTTTCACAAAATAAAAGCACACATTCTTCAACTGATTCAATTCATATTTATTACCACAACGTTTCATATCTAAAACGAATGACGAAACAAATTCTACAATCAATTTGAAAACTAAAGCCCTCCATCATAACTTAATAAGGGAATTGAAAGGGTTCTTCCTCATTAAACATAAAACAATAGTACACCACTGTATATAGAGAGACTCATCTTTAGCTTAGTTTTGTATCTGTTAGTGGATTTTATGGCTTTCTATTTTCAGCTCCACTGTTATTATTACATATACGTGTTTTGCTTAATGCCTAAATAATCTCATTTATAAGAATCCTTATTCGGTGAAGTTTTTACCTTTGCAGAGTAAGTAATGGTGGGACAAAAAATGGAGCAATATCACTGCATCGTGTGGACAAGCTGCTAAGAACCCATGGTAGGAATGTTTTTCTTTATTTTTTTCCAATTTTAGGTGTGTTTGATCAGACATACTCTACATAAAAATATTTCCTTAATGTCTATTTATGCAGACTAATTCTAAGAAACACTCATACTCCATCGCAATTTTACAGCAAATGAAGACCAATAATTCACATTTTCTATCAAGGTATGGTTAATTAAACTCTAATATTGTTCTCTTTTTTTTTCTTCTTTAATTTTGGGTCACTTAAAAGTGGTACATAGTGATTACTTAAACCATAAGAATATTTTCTCCTTTTCTCCCTTTATTTTAGGGACACATAAAAATTACAGGTATTTAAGGGTCATCTAAAAATTTATGAATCGGGATGAAGAACGAAGCAGAGGAAGAACGTAGAGAATCAGTTGAGCAAATTCAGAAGAAGATGATGGAGACTTATGATGAACTGCAAACTATTTTTATTTTTTTCTCAACTAGACTATAAAAATATAGTTGAATTATAAACTCAAAAAAATTGGCTTGCATATCAGCTTTGGACTCTTTCCCTCCGTGTTCAACTTCTTTTCGAACATTGTTACTTTTAATACATGGTTGTGATTCTTTTAGCAAATTAAAAATGGGTGCGTAATAGGTTATATGGGAGTGTAATTTTACCTATTTTATTTTTAAGGTGATGTATTGATATGTTTTAGCAGATTCTGATAATTTCTATTTTTGATGTTCACGTCTTCCTATTTTGTCTCTAACCGGAATGACATATGTTGAATTGAGAAAGCAAGTTTGTCCTGGTATTAGAGTTTCTGATATCAATTATTTTCTATTTTAATGAAAGGAATTAGTATATGATAAATTTTCAATTGTCCAAAGTAGTATGTCAATGAAACTGAAGCTTGCAAAATTTCGTCGTCTTGTGAATTCTTTCCCCTTTTTGATGATGTTGTGTGTTAAATTTATTGGATAAGCTTTTTAGGAAATGAACAATTCTTTTTAGATTTTATGAAATTTTAGCATAGCCTTGATGATTTTGAGAAAGGAAAGGTATAGATTTAGAGTAAAAGCATAAAATATAGCTTTTGAAAGCTGGTGAAGAAAAGTTACATAATTTTTTGATATATTAAATGAACAAAGAAAAAGGTATAATTAAAATTTATATGCATATTTAAAGAGATCAATTTTTTTGAAGTTCATATCTCTCTTTCATATTTCTTAAAAAATACAAATACCGTTTCACCTTTATGGGCAACTATATAAAATCATTCTCTGACAAACAAAAAGTACACAAGTGATGAAAAGTTAAAGAAAGATAAAACTAAATACATAATAAAATCTAATCTATTTGGATTATAAAATAACTAAATATCTTTAATATTAAAGCATTAAAAAAAATTACTTCATAAATCGATAAGGTCCTTTACAGGATCAATTCACTAGTTGTCAAAATAAATTTGACTTCGGCTACATTACGAGCGTACGTGTATGCGACATTGTTATGTTTGTATAAGATCTTTACGATATCTGTGCTTGCAACTCACTAATGACGATATTTTTTATGAAATGCCGCAACTCCACATATTTTTGTATTTTAAATGTCTCTGCATTTAACGCATGAATTTTATTCTGTATTTCGATCAAAACTTACGAAATTTGACTCAGCTATATATGAAATATTGATTTGGTAGTGTACTTCCTTTGTTTTCTAAAAATAAAAGTTTATACACTTTTTACAAAATAAATATTTGACGTTATGGTGCAGAATAAAATTTTAAAAGTATAATGCTTTCAAATATTATTTCACATTTTGATATAGGATTTGTATTAGTTATATATAAAAAGCATATATTATATATTTATTGGTCTGATTTGGTCACAGAGAACGAATAAAAAAAAAAAGTTCCTTGCCTTTGAAGGATATTTGGAGATGCAAATGCCAGACAGGACCTCTAATTGAATTACTTCACATGCTAGATTTTAGTTAATACACTTTGCAAGCTTGGTACAGCCGTTCAGCGCATCTTTCCCACAATTCTACAAAGCATTTGTACAAGAATATATTCAAAAATTCCAATATGAAAATGACAAGGAATAGAATATACACAAGTCAATCACGTTTATGATACAACCTTTTTGCATATTGAACCTTCTCTCACAATCAGAATATCAAAAACAAGCAACCCTACTTTTATTCTGACCACATCATTTTCTTTTGTTTTTATTTATTTTTTTGTTCCAAAAAGAGAGGAGGGGGGTTGAATATGGATTGAAATTAGTAGTGGCTCAACGTACAACTGTACAACATAATGACAGCAACTCAAAGTAAGGAAGGAGTCCCATCGGAGACCTGAAATCATGATAAAATTGGAAAGCAGGGATTTTAACAAAATTCCCACCTCTGAGAGCCATTACTGCGGTTGCGTCTCACATACTACCTGTGTGTCTGCAATCGCGGTTATTTTCTTCTGCAGCTCTGGTTTATTGGCCCCTACAAGTTTGTCAATCTGCTGGCTGTCCTTGAGGAAAAAGAAAGTTGGAGTTGCTTTGATATCCCAGGATGAACTAAATTCCTGAACCCAATAAAAAAAAAAAAAAAAAAAAAAAAACAAACAAACAATGAACTTGAGCTGCCAAAACTTTCAGATTACTGTTGGAAAATAATCCAACAAAACATCAAACAAACACTCGTATCATATGAATGTTGGTATCAAGTAATTCAAGTCTTGTTCATTTATCTCCCAGACGCTGGGACTCCAGAAGAATTACTTAAATAGCCAGAGTTTCAATAGAGCAGACATAAAAAAACAGTGAAATCTAAAGAGTTAGCTAGTCGGGAAAGCAGAAGGATTGAACTCTGAAATTTCTCAATTGAAATTCTTGCTACTTACTGTAAGCTCATCAACATCGACTGTTAGAAACATCAGAGAAAGATATTTCTCAGACAGCTCACAGTAGAATGGGGCAATCATTCTACATGGACCACACCATGAAGCACTGAAATTCGCAATAACCTGCAAATATTTCACTTGCGTAAGAAAGGTCCAAAATGCTAGAAAACACTGCAGGCAAAATGCAAAAAGTAGAACAAGGCGAAAACAAAGACTATATGTGGAAACCTCTGCGCCTTTCTGTCTGTATCCCTCTCCCTGCACATGCGAGCACACCAACGTGCTTGAGGGAGAGACCTTAATTTGGTACCTATAGAGTTTACAAGTGCCTTAACTTTTTTTTTTTTTTAATGTAACTCGGCCTTCTTTGAGAATTAGTTACATGCATAGAGGTGTGAGTTTGCACTTGAGTATGGACAAGACACAACTTCTTCTAATTTTTTATTTTTTAGCAAGTTTTCAATGAGTACTTAAGGATCAGTATGTGGATTCCAGAAGAATGTCCTACAGATTGACACATCTGCAGCAACCAGCAGGGCAAGTAAATGGTAAACATGAAAAGCATACTCTCCATCTTGATGAAATAAAAACATTCAAAATTTTCTTGTGACCAACACCATGTCACGCAGTCCTACCAAAATCGTTCATAAGAGTACTGAAAGCAAGATCCTCATGCTAATTATTTATTTTTCCCTCCACAAAATAAAACATAACACTCCCTCAGTCCCATTTTATGTGAAGATGTTCAAGTGGACATGCAATTTAAGAAATTAAAGAAGACTTTTGACATGTAAGCCAAATTTTGCAAAGTACCAAAATTATCCTTTTAAACGTGTAGTGGTCAGAGTTTTACATGTCTTTTTCATTATTCTCTCCTTACAGAAAAATAAGCTTTTATATCAGGTGGGTCCCAACAAGTCATTTTATTAGGGGTAAATGGGGATACTTTAATTAATACTTAATAGTTTCCAACAAGAGAAATGTGTCATTTTTTTTGGGACAAACTAAAAGGGTTAAAAGGAAGTGTATTACATAAAATTGATTGCTTTTCAAGTTATTCTCCAAAAACTCCAATTCTTTTTTAATAAGGTTTATCCTCCTAAAACTTCAATTTAGCTTTGCATAGATGATCTCCCCATAACACGAAAAGAAATTGATGAATGGAAAGAAAAGTGCTGCACATAGAAATTTTTACGGTTATCTCAGGCCACGAAGTATAAATGACATATAAAGACACATGTTCAAGATTGACATAAAATTTACCAAGCCAAACTTTAACATGCCTTTAGCAATTGATAGTTACCGAGTCTGTTCATGTAGACTAAGCAAGTAACTAGTTAGAAACCTAGCTAATAGAGTTGAATTGTCAACTCCATAAAGTAGGTTCATCAAATAAACAAGTGAAGATTTTCAAAATCAACTCGAGCTTGAACAATATTAGAATATGCTTACCACATCTGA